TGACATACCAAGTGAAGCTGCTGTGGTGCTAGTGTTGGTGGTGGCGGCAGGCTGGCGAGTGGTAACTTGAGAGGTGCCCGAAGCTAAGCTGGAGGAGGATGGTGTGTCAAGGTTCCGAGCGGAAGCTGTAGAAGATTGGGTGTCCTGTGTTAGCCAGTCAACTATGTCCTCAGAACTTTTCGAGTTCAGGGTACGTGGCCTCTGAACACTGGGCATTATTCTAGGGCCAAAGGGAATCACAGCACAACGACCACGACGGCCCCTGCGGGGTGGCCTGCCTCTGCCTGTCATTTTTTTTTCGATTAGTGGTACTATGCGTGAAAGCTACTGTGACAATAGATATGAGTGGCACTCTGCAGTGGCAGAAGTTGGCAGAGTAGACGCTGTAGGCCTGACACACACGCTTGCAGACAACTAACTGCTATTCAATCTATTACAGTCAAAATTGTATTTTTTTTTTTTTTTAATGTACACTACTGTTACACCAGATATAAGTTGCACTGGTGTGACACTGTGCCCTGGCAGGCCCTAAAACGCAAACGCGTGAAGGAAACTGACTGCTATTATATTACAGTCCAAAAAGTTTAGTTTTTTTGTTAAATGCAAGCTATTGTGACACCGGATATGAGTGGTGGCACTGGGCAAGTGGGCACGGTATACGCTGTGAGCCTGACACACACGCTGGCAGACATCTAACTGCTATTCAATCTATTACAGTCAAAATTGTATTTATTTTTTAAAATGTACACTACTGATACACCAGATATGAGTTTCACTGGTGTGACACTGTGCCCTGGCAGACACTAAAACGCAAACGCGTGAAGGAAACTGACTGCTATTATATTACAGTCCAAAAATGTTGTTTTTTTTTTTTTTTAAATGCAAGCTATTGGGACACCAGTGAGTGAATGGTGGCACTGGGCAGGCCCTGAAACGCACACTGGTGAAGGAAACTGACTGCTATTATATTATAGTCCAAAAAGTTTTGTTTTTTTTAAATGCAAGCTATTGGGACACCAGTGAGTGGTGGAACTGGGCAGGCCCTGAAACGCACACTCGTGAAGGAAACTGACTGCTATTATATTACAGTCAAAAAAGTTTATTTTTTTTTAAATGCAAGCTATTGTGACACCAGTGAGTGAGTGGTGGCACTGGGTAGGCCCTGAAACGCACACTGGTGAAGGAAACTGACTGCTATTATAATACAGTCAAAAAAGTTTTGTTTTTTTTAAATGCAAGCTATTGGGACACCAGTGAGTGGTGGAACTGGGCAGGCCCTGAAACGCACACTCGTGAAGGAAACTGACTGCTATTATATTACAGTCAAAAAAGTTTATTTTTTTTTAAATGCAAGCTATTGGGACACCAGTGAGTGAATGGTGGCACTGGGCAGGCCCTGAAACGCACACTGGTGAAGGAAACTGACTGCTATTATATTACAGTCAAAAAAGTTTTTTTTTTTTTTAAATGCAAGCTATTGGGACACCAGTGAGTGAGTGGTGGCGCTGGGCAGGCCCTGAAACGCACACTAGTGAAGGAAACTGACTGCTATTATATTATTATAGTCAAAAGTTTTGTTTTTTAAATGCAAGCTATTGGGACACCAGTGAGTGGTGGAACTGGGCAGGCCCTAGAAGCATACACTCGTGAAGGAAACTGACTGCTATTATATTACAGTCAAAAAGTTTTTGTTTTTTTAAATGCAAGCTATTGGGACACCAGTGAATGAGTGGTGGCACTGGGCAGGCCCTGAAACGCACACTCGTGAAGGAAACTGACTGCTATTATATTACAGTCAAAAAAGTTTTGGTTTTTTTAAATGCAAGCTATTGGGACACCAGTGAGTGAGTGGTGGCACTGGGCAGGCCCTGAAACGCACACTCGTGAAGGAAACTGACTGCTATTATATTACAGTCAAAAAGTTTTTTTTTTTTTTAAATGCAAACTATTGGGACATCAGTGAGTGAGTGGTGGCACTGGGCAGGCCCTGAAACGCACACTCGTGAAGGAAACTGACTGCTATTATATTACAGTCAAAAAAGTTTTTTTTTTTAAATGCAAGCTATTGGGACACCAGTGAGTGAGTGGTGGCACTGGGCAGGCCCTGAAACGCACACTAGTGAAGGAAACTGGCTGCTATTATATTACAGTCCAAAAAGTTTTTTTTTTTTTTAAATGCAAGCTATTGTGACACCAGTGAGTGAGTGGTGGCACTGGGCAGGCCCTGAAACGCACACTTGTGAAGGAAACTGACTGCTATTATATTACAGTCAAAAAAGTTTTTTTTTTTTTAAATGCAAGCTATTGTGACACCAGTGAGTGAGTGGTGGCACTGGGCAAGTGGGCACAGTATATGCTGTGAGCCTGACACACAGGCTGGCAGGCAGGCAACTGCAATTACATTACACAGAAAAAAAAGCAGACATGTTCTAGCCCTAAAAGGGGCTTTTTAGGGTGCTGTCCTTACAGCAGAGATCAGATGAGTCCTTCAGGACTGTAGTGGACACTGAATACACTAGCCTAGCTAACAATTTTCCTATCAAATCAGCAGCAGCTACACTGTCCCTCCTCTCACTAAGAATGCAGCTTCACAATTAATGTAAAATGGATGCTGTCTAGGAGGTGGGAGGGTCTGGGAGGGAGGGTCTGCTGCTGATTGGCTGGAATGTGTCTGCTGACTGTGAGGTACAGGGTCAAAGTTTACTCAATGATGACGAATAGGGGGTGGACCGAACAGCGCATATAATCGCCATCCGTGGCGTACGCGAAAAAGCGATGTTCGCCAGGAACTATTCGCCAGCGAACCGTTCGGGACATCACTGATAAGGGAGAGTAGAATTCTATCCCTAACCAAACAGATTAAAAATTTGGAGGACCTACACTCCAGAGACCACTCATTAGCCACATACAAGACATTAATAACAATGCGAACTGAACAGAAGAAAAAAAGAAAATTAACTTGAAAAAACACACATACTATACAAAGGGGGGAAGGGGGAAAAGTTGCTAGCACAGGCCTTGAGACAAGGCAAACAATCGACATTCATAGCTGGCATAAAACTACAAAATGGGAAATACACCCAAATGATGCCTGACATCCTGAGAGCATTCTCAGAATATTATACAGGGCTCTATAACCTCGGGGAATCACTGCCCGATCCCTCAGAAATACAAAACGTTCTTCAAGAATGGATCAAACGCACACTCCCAGTGAACAAGAGAAATTTCTTAGAGAATCCCATCTCAGCCGAAGAATTCCACTTTACAGTCAGGAAACTTCCATTAGGGAAAAGCCCAGGCCCTGACGGCCTTACTGGCAAATATTATAAATCTATGGCCCATAGCCTAGAACAACCATTTCTTAGGGCATTCAATGCCAGGGATTTAAAACACACCATTCTCCACTCAGCACTAAAAGCAACTATAGCCTTAATACCAAAGGAAGGGAAAGACCCAACCAATTGCGGGAGTTATAGACCCATCTCACTAATAAATATCGACATTAAGATTTTCACAAAAATTCTGACCAATAGATTGAAACCCCTCCTCCCGGGTCTAAAACATGACGACCAGGTGGGATTCGTCCCAAGTAGAGAGGTGAAAAACAATACTACCAAAATCATCAACCTAATGCACTGGGCGATCACCAATGGTAAATCCTCTCCCAGCATCCTATTAGCAATCGATGCAGAGAAAGCATTTGATAGGGTGGGCTGGTCATGATAGCCACAATGCAAAACCTGGTTTTGGGGAGAGGTGGGTGGATTGGCTTGGAGCAATATAATCAACCCCTACAGCTAAAATTAGAATCAATGGGCAACTAACTGACCCTGTTCCCAACCGCAACGGAACTAGACAGGGCTGTCCTCTGTCCCACTTAATCTTTATTCTGACATTAGAGCCATTCATACAAGGGATCAGAGATAACCACATGATAAGGGGCTTTAAAATCAATAAAGAAGAGTATAAGGTGTCTTTTATTCACAGTCGCAGAATCTAGTACATCCCTTCCTCAAATTCTTAAAGAAATGGACCAATACAGCAGGGTTTCAAATTTCAAAGCCAACATTACTAAATGTGAAATTCTTCCGCTCAATATCACCCAGGGACTGGAGAAACACCTCAGGCAATCATTCACCTTCAGTTAGGCAAGTAGCTCCATTAAATATCTGGGAGTGCATCTGGCCGGAAATTTAGATCACCTTTTGAACATAATTTCCCACCAACTTTAAGGACAATAAACTCAGACTTGTCAAAGTGGCACAAACCGGGATTTAGTTGGTTCTGCCTAGTAAATATTAGACTTGGGCATTCATATTCATACGAATGGATTTTCGTATGAAAATATGCATTTTCTTCCATTCTTACGAATACTGAATACCGAATGGGTATCCAAACTAAAGAACGAACAAACGAATGGCTATTTACCGAAAATCTTATGTTTGTTCATTCATTCGGCATTTTGATTTACACTCTGTGTGAATTACACTTTCATTCGTTATTTCTGTTCACTTCCTTCAAATCCGATGGAATTGAGCCAAACCAACGAATGCATTCTAATGAATGTGCCTTTAGTTCATTCGTATCACTAGTTCGGCTTTTTGAATTACAGGCCGTCAGTAGTGTAATGTATTGCAATACAAACTACCGAACGAGCAGCGTTCGTGAACCTAACGCACAAATCATTCATGCTTTCTCAAAGCATTGCATTGCTTTACATGAGGATGGTAGAAAAACGAATTAACTAATGAACTAATGAACTGATTTGCCTCAATAAATCTAGATATATTTTGCATTGAAGGACTGCCTTCAGTTGAAACTTTTTTTTTTTTTACAGTTTTGTTTGGCAGTATGTAAAAGCCTATTTAATTGGCTACTACTTTCCCACTCCCTTATAAAATGATACTGTGTTGCCAGTACCACCTGCCAGGGAAGCATGATGATTCATGAGCCCAAGAAACTAAGCAAAAGCAATGCATTGACTATAGTGACTATAGTGAGTGGTGTTCGGTAGTTTACTAATAGTGCCAATACATTTTCATGCGATTGGCAGCATTCGTGCATTTGACGGTTCGGGAGTTAGTTCGGGAGTTTTAGGCATAAATAGATTAGAACATTGTTCAATGCCATGTGTTGTGAGATCAATGTATGAAAATTTAAACGAATGAATGATTTTACTGCGTTCACTTGAGGCTATTCATTATTTAGGGATTAGGAAACTTACTTTTATGATTGCATTGTATTTGCAATGTCATTCGACATACGAATGACTATAGTGAGTGGTGTATGGTAGTTTACTAATAGTGCCAATACATTTTCATGCGACTGGCAGCGTTCGTGCATTTGACGGTTCGGGAGTTATTTTGGGAGTTTTGGGCGCAAATTAAACGAAATACAGCATTCAATGCCATTGCCATGTTGTTAGATCAATGTACAAAATTTGAAACAAATGGTTTTACTGAGTTCAATTGAAGCTATTCGGTATTTAGGGATTAGGGAACATAGTTTTATGCATTCAATTCATTTGGTTCAATTAAATCGTGCCGAATGAACGAACGAGTTTAGCCGAAATGAAAATACTAACAAATATCGTACGAAAATTAATGGAAGAATTGACGAATTTCGGTTCTGACTAAACTAATTTTTTTTTCGTACAAAACGAAAATTTCTGAAGTGCCCAAGTCTAGATTATAAATAGAAATAAAAAAATCTCCTCTATCTGTCTACCCAGGAGGATTTTATTTCCCCTTCTGCAGCTTATTACCTGCAGCTGAGCAATCGGTTGGAGACAATGCAAAACCCTGGCCTGGACCACTTTTCTCCCAGTTACTTGCAGCATTGGCCTACCCTACTCTCCGAATTCTCCACCCCAGGGACTCACATCTAAACATTCCTTTATGTTACATACAACACATACTCCCCCTGGAGTTAAATGTCATATGCCTCTCTGAACAATTTAGCGGAACTATAAACTCGCTCACAATCAACACCATTCACCTTATCACATTACCCAGACATATGCTGGAGATGCAAAGCCCAAAAAGTTATTTTTCCATATCTGGTGGGAGAATCAATCGCTCCAATTATTTTGGAATATGATCTATGTTAAAATTCAAAAACTACTCAAAAAACCCTTTCAATTCGATCCCATATTATTTCTATTCCAAATCAATTTATATAAAATTTTTGTTTTAGACTCGTTTATTGTTATCCATCTTCTGACTGCCACTAAACTACTTGTAGCCAGAAATTGGAAGACGGTTATAGCCCTGTGCTGGCTAACAGTTAGGTGTGCCGCTAGTTTTTCAGATCAAAATGGAGATGGGTATAGATAGACTAAATCAAGAGGAATCTGAGCAGGGGATTGAACGAATAATGATGATATAAAGGTTATGATAATATAATGACTGTTCTAATCCTCTTAAAATACTTTAGTCAGCTAACATCTAACTTGGTTTTTTTATTCTTTATCAGCATATTAAGCCTAGGCCTCTTCTGTCTTCCCTTGATTTATACCGCAGGGATATGTTTAATGTTGTTTGTTAAATGTTGTGCCTTATTTTTCTTTTTCCTCTCTCTGCTTATGTACAAGAGGCACATAATGTAATGTATGTTTGTTATTAAAATAAAGATCTATAATAAATATATAATATGTAAAAGACACTAATAATAATAAAAGATACTAGTTCCTGTGGCCATCCATGGCTTACACAATTTACTCACTGAAAATAACATTTATCATCCATTTTTAACTGGTAGTTTGTGTGCAATGGTACACATATTGTGTTTAAAAAAGAAAAATTAAATAAATCATCTATATAAAATTATCATGTTGAAAATTAAATTTAAGTGGCAATACAAAGGTTTATAAATGTAATATGGTAAAATAATCTGTCTGTCCGTCCGTCCATCCGACCGTCCATCCATCCACCTATAAAATGTTCCATTCTTGTATTTATTTGCAGATTAGTTCATGAACAAAATAGATGCAAATCCTGTATTTAGAATAACAGACTGTTCAGAGTTAATGAAGCTTTTGTCCATGTCTCATTTAATCTGTGGAAGTTATGCAGCTCTCTAAAACTCGTGGTCAGCATTAACCATTAGTGAGTGCAGTGGATTGCAAAGTGATGAGAAAGGTGGAGACAGAAAAGTTTCACATACAAAAAGATTGTATATTTGTTTCTTTATGTAGACAAGGCAGATCTGGAGCATAAAGAAAATTATTTGAGAACTGCTCTTTAGTTACAAGATCTATTAACCAGAATGTCGATCCGAGTTTATATTAACAAACCATACATGTGTGCATTCACATGCATAAATACACATGCACAACAAATCGCCACAATTTAGTATTTACTTTGTCAGTCAACTTCATCATATTTACCTTAGTGCTAAGAAAATGAGCATTCTTAACACTTTATACAATTATGTGGTCGAATGGGCAAACTCAAATCCCTTGAATAATTGTTACTTACCTCCCTCTAACCAATAGCAATCATAAGAATGTGATCATATTGTATGCTTCTAGTGGGTTTCTACTGCCTACATGAATAGGGTGAGATAAAATCCATGCCAATTATGATACCTGCTGGCCTTACAACAGCTCCCCAGAGTCGTGTCACATGATATGAGTCATTCTGGCATCATATTTGAAGAAGATCACTCAATTCAAGCTCCCTTTTTAGGCATTTGATAGTGTATCTCATGGACATTTTGTCAAAAAACATTTGATGCCATCTACCATCCATCCTGTAGGCCATGGAGCAGCATATCTAAGGGGAATGGGCCTTGACATTGCTAGGCATATAATGTGGGTAATGTTTGTGATGGGCTAAGAGAAAGTTGGGGGTGGAGATTTGCTATCGGAGTATATATAGGGGCCATTTTAGATTAAGGGCCATCTTAATTAATCCTCACTTACCTGTTGTTGTCCCACCATCCCTTTGTTTTAGCTCCCATTTGGTCAGGGCGGCGGGCGATGGATAGAAAAGTTGGGGTGTAGGTCATTTGTTCATCTGTAGGATAGTTTTAGTTCGCTAAGAACAGTTAGGTTTGGAATGGTATTGGTAGGTTTGAGATCATTGGTATCTCCGAACCTGGTGTATGTAGGGTGTATCTCGGTATACCCCTACATTTTTAAAACTGGAAAATCATGCCCTCAGTGGCAATGATTTATGTTTTACATATTATTTATATCTTATAATGTGATATAAATTATTATTGATGTGGGTCATTGTCGTGGTCAGAATTGCTAAAGGAATTTGGGTTAATATGTAATGTTTAAGTATATTGACAATGACCTTAAAATCTTATATGTTTATCTTTTACATCATTAAAGCTGTGATATTTTCTTCCCAAAACAAGATGTCTGAGTCTTCTTGCGGGTTATGGATTATGTAAAGCCTATGCCAAGAGGGTGACTATGCATATGTCAAATACTACTTGAGTCATATCCAGAAATACCTTGTCATGGTACTCCTAAGGGTTGTTATATACCATAAGAGTTTAATTGTTTAGTGATTTAGCTTGCATTTCAGATATTCTTTATTCATTACCCTTGACCCTAACTTACTATTTTGTTATATTGATCTTCTATATCCCTTGACTTAAGCTCATTTCAAACTTTTTTTGCCTGTTCTCATGTGTTTTTTCTCACTATATGCTTCTTTACGTCCAGCCACCCTAAAATCCATTGACATACTGCTAACTTGCTTTTCTGTTTGTCATTGTAAATAAGGTAGGATGATACAATCATTGTATTCATACAGATCATAATTATAAAATCAATGTTTATTTGTCAGCATACCATTATACAATCACACACACATGCAAAATCACATACACAGAGATACATATCCACCTGCTTGTTAATTTGTGTAGACTTACACCAGAGAATTACAGTATGCAATGATACCATATTTATTGGACAAACATAATACTTAAAAGACAAGGTTTCAAGATTTTTCCTCTCTTCTTTCAGACCCGAAGAATACTCTGGTCTTTTGGCATCTTGTCTACTGGACTAATATGACTAATCCAATCTACACTATCTATATATATCTCTCTCTCTATGTATATATATGTATATATTTAAATCCAAAAAGGTGGCAGCACTCACGAAATTAAAAGTTCTAATCTTTATTTGTTCATGTTAAAAAAAATCAAAAAATTGGTTTTGATCCTGATGAAAGTCCCATACAGAGGACTGAAACGTTGATTTTTTTAACATGAACAAATAAAGATTAGGACTTTTAATTCCATGAGTGCTGCCACCTTTTTGGATTTCTGGATAACTAAGCCCTGGCTTAGCACCCGGCAAACAAGGGACTATTAAAGCGTGAGTGCAAGAGATCTTTCTTTTTTCTTTATATATATATATATATATATATATATATATCAAAGAGTTGTGTAATGAAACAGCTGTCCATGAGTGGTTCATTGGCTTTGCTCCTCTTCATGAGTTGTGTTTCAAAGCTGTTGTATACAGCAAACACATAATCCAAAGAATCCATGTGTAAAGTGGAATTATGAGGCAAAAATTTGGTTCTTTGTTGAGTTCATTTGCATATGCCTATCCAGAATCCCTTGCAGTAGTGAGATCACTGTTAAAGTGAGATTTCTGTGAGAAAAGCAAGTCTTATGGCTTGACTGGTGTGTATATTTGTGTTTAGCAATGTATTAACTAATAAATATATATAATATATATATATATATATATATATATATATATATATATATATATATGTATATATATTATTTTTTTTAATTAAACTTAATGAAATTTTATTAAATTCATTATGCTTATTATGTTTTATATTTAAATAGTCTAACAAGCGAGCACAAACCTCTATATTTCAAAGGTCTTTGCAGGCAATTTTCACATAACTTATGCTATATTGCCACTGTGTGCTTAGTCTTACAGGAGCCTTAACTATATAAGAGTATAAAATACACAGTCCCTTAGGATATGTGAGAGTACAAAATTGGGTCAATTTGTTTGTCCACCAAGACCAACTTAGTTAGAAATGCATAATAACAAAAGTGTTTTTTTTTTTTATGTTAGTTACATGTTAATATAGGCTGATAAAGGCCTCAAGCTAATTTAGTTCAACTTTTCACACATCTGTAGTTTTGTTATTGATCCCAAATAAGGTTAAAAAAAACTATTTCATATTTTGCCACAATTGAGAGAAACAATCCTTCCTGACTCTAAATATTTCACCTTGAATCAACAAGCTGTTATTTCCCATAGTAAATATATTTTTCTGAAGTATTCCGTT